TGCTAAGATGGGCTCTCATTTGTGCACAGGTACTTTTATTCTCAGGGGCATATATTTTAAAGACCCCAGAACAGAAGGTGTTGTCCCATAAAGTCTCAAGGAACCTACCAGTTTTCAATGAATTCGCTTTTTCAATCTGATTTCTTTTTTTTTTTTTTTTTCATTATTATACTTTAAGTTCTGGGATACATGTGCAGAACATGCAGGTTTGTTATATAAATATACACGTGCCATGGTGGTTTGCTGCAACCATCAACCCATCATCTACATTAGGTATTTCTCCTAATGCTCTCCCTGCCCTGGCCCCCTACCACTCAACAGGCCCCAGTGTGTGATGTTCCCCTCCCTGTGCCCACATGTTTTCATTGTTCAGCTCCCACTTATGAGTGAGAACATGCAGTGTTTGGTTTTCTGTTCCTGTGTTAGTTTGCTGAGAATGATGGATTACAGCTTGAACCATGTCCCTGCAAAGGGCATAAACTCATTCTTTTTATGGCTGCATAGTATTCCATAGTGTATATGTGCCACATTTACTTTATCCAGTCTAACATTGATGGGCATTTGTTTCGTTTCCAAGTCTTTGCTATTGAAAACAGTGCTGCAACAAACATACATGTGCATGTGTCTTTATAGTAGAATGCTTTACAATCCTTTGGGTATATACCCAGTAATGGGATTACTGGGTTAAATGGTATTTCTGGTTCCAGATCCTTGAGGAATTGCCACACTGTCTTCCACAATGGTTGAACTAATTTACACTCCCACCAACAGTGTAAAAGCGTTCCTGTTTCTCCACATCCTCTCCAGCATCTATTGTTTGCTGACTTTGTAATGATCGCCATTCTAACTGGCATGAGATGGTATCTCATTCTGGTTTTGATTTGCATTTCTCAAATGACCAGTGATCATGAGCTTTTTTTTCATGTTTGTTGGCCGCATAAATGTCTTCCTTTGAGAAGTGTCTGTTCATATCCTTTGTCCACTTTTTGATGGGTTTTTTTTTTCTTGTAAATTTGTTTAAGTTCCTTGTAGATTCTGGATACTAGCCATTTTTCACATTGCAAAAATTTTCTCCCATTCTATAGGTTGCCTGTTCACTCTGATGATAGTTTCTGTTGCTGTACAGAAGCTCTTTAATTTAATAAGATCCCATTTGTCAATTTTGGTTTTTGTTGCCATTGCTTTTGGTGTTTTACTCATGAAGTCTTTGCCCATGCCTATGTCCTGAATGGTATTGCCTAGGTTTTCTTCTAGGGTTTTTATGGTTTTAGGTCTTACATTTAAATCTTTAGTCCATCTTGAGTTAGTTTTTGTATAAGGTGTAAGGAAGGGGTCCAGTTTCAGTTTTCTGCATATGGCTAGCCAGTTTTCCCAGTACCATTTATTAAATAGGGAATCTTTTCCCCATTGCTTTTGTCAGGTTTGTCAAAAAACAGATGGTTGTAGATGTGTGGTGTTATTCCTGAGGCCTCTGTTCTGTTCCATTGGTCTATATATCTATTTTGGTACCAGTACCATGCTGTTTTAGTTAATGTAGCCTTGTAGCATAATTTGAAGTCAGGTAGAGTGATGCTTCCAGCTTTGTTCTTTTTGCTTAGAATTGTCTTGGCTATACGGGCTCTTTTTTGGTTCCATATGAACTTTAAAGTAGTTTTTTCCAATTCTGTGAAGAAAAGTCAGTGGTAGCTTGGTGGGAATAGCATGAATTTATAAATTCCTTTTGGCAGTTTGGCCATTTTCATGATATTGATTCTTCCTAACTATGAGCATGGAATGTTTTCCCATTTGTTTATGTCCTCTCTTATTTCCTTGGGCAGTGGTTTGTAGTTCTCCTGGAAGAGGTCCTTCACATCCCTTGTAAGTTGGATTCCTAGGTATTTTATTCTCTTTGTAGCAACTGTAAATGGGAGTTCACTCATGATTTGGTTCTCTGTTTGTCTATTATAGGTGTGTAGGAATTATTATGATTTTTGCACGTTGATTTTGTATCCTGAGAGTTTGCTAAAGTTGCTTACCAGCTTAAGGAGTTTTGGTGCTGAGACGATGGGGTTTTCTAAATACACAATCATGTCATCTGCAAACAGAGATAATTTGACTTCCTCCTTTCCTATTAGAATACCCTTTATTTCCTTCTCTTGCCTGATTGCCCTGCCCAGAACTCCCCATACTATGCTGAACAGGAGTGGTGAGAGAAGGCATCCTTATCTTGTGCTGGTTTTCAAAGGCAATGCTTCCAGCTTTTGCCAATTCAGTAAGATATTGGCTGTGGATTTGTGAAAAGTAGCTCATTATTTTGAGATATGTTGCATCAATACCTAGTTTACTGAGAGTTTTTAGTATGAAGAGCTGTTGAATTTTGTCGAAGGCCTTTTCTTCATCTATTGAGACAATCGTGTGTGTGTGTTTTTTTTTGTCCTCGGTTCTGTTTATGTGATGGATTACATTTATCACCAGCCTGGCATCCCAGGGATGAAGCTGACTTGATCGTGGTGGATAAGCTTTTTAACGTGCTGCTGGATTCAGTTTGCCATTGTTTTATTGAGGATTTTTGCATCAATGTTCATCAGAGATATTGGCCTGAAATTCTCTTTTTTTGTTGTGTCTCTGCCAGGTTTTGGTATCAGGATGATGCTTGCCTTATAAAATAAGTTAGGGAGGAGAGCCTCTTTTTCTGTTGGTTGGAATCATTTCAGAAGGAATGGTACCAGCTTCTCTTTGTACCTCTGGTAGAATTTGGCTGTGAATCCGTTTCATCCTGGGCTGTTTTTTAGTTGACAGGCTATTAATTACTGCCCCAATTTCAGAACGTGTTATTGGTCTATTCAGGGATTTGACTTCTTCTGGTGTAGTCTTGGGAGGGTGCATGTGTCCAGGAATTTATCTATTTCTTCTAGATTTTCTAGTTTATTTGCATAGAGGTATTTATAGTATTCTCTGATGGTGGTTTGTATTTCTGTGGGATAAGTGGTGATAACCCCTTTATCATTTTTTATTGTGTCTATTTGATTCTTCTCTCTTTTCTTATTTATTAGTCTAGTGAATGGTCTATCTATTTTGTTAATCTTTTCAAAAAGCCAGCTCCTGGATTCACGGATTTTTTGAAGGATTTTTCGTGTCTCTGTTGCCTTCAGTTCTGCTCTGATCTCAGTTATTTCTTTGCTTCTGCCAGCTTTAGAATTTGTTTGCTCTTGCTTCTCTAGTTCTTTTACTTGTGATATTAGGGTGTCAATTTTAGATCTTTCCTGCTTTCTCTTGTGGGAATTTAGTACTATAAATTTCCCTCTAAACACTGCTTTTGCTGTGTCCCAGAGATTCTTGTACATTGTGTCTTTTTTCTCATTGGTTTGAAAGAATTTATTTATCTCTGCCTTAGTTTTGTTATTTACCCAATAGCCATTCAGGAGAAGGTTTTTTAGTTCCCACGTAGTTGTGTGGTTTTGAGTGAGTTTCTTAACCCTAAGTTCTAATTTGATTGCACTGTCTAAGAGACTGTTATAATTTCCATTCTTTTTTATTTGCTGAGGAGTGTTTTACTTCCAATTATGTGGTCAATTTTATAATAAATGTGATGTGGTGCTGAGAAGAATGTATATTCTGTGGATTTGGGGTGGACAGTTCTGTAGACGTCTATTAGGTGCACTTGGTCAAGAGATGAGTTCAAGTTCTGAATATCCTTGTTAATTTTCAGTCTCATCAATCTGTCTAATATTGACAGTGGGGTGTTGAAGTCTCCCACTATTATTATGTGGGAGTCTAAGTCTCTTTATAGGTCTCTGAGAACTTGCTTTATGAATCTGGGTGCTCCTGTATTGGGTGCATATATATTTAGGATAGTTAGCTATTTTTGTTGCATTGATCCCTTTACCATTGGGTAATACCCTTCTTTGTCTTTTTAAATCTTTGTTGGTTAGAAGTCTGTTTCATCACAAACTAGGATTGCTTTTTTTTGGTTTGTTTTCCATTTGCTTGGTAAATCTTCCTCCACCCCTTTATTTTTAGCCTGTGAGTGTCTTTGTATGTAAGATGGGCCTCCTGAATACAACACACTGATGGGTCTTGACTCTTTATCCAATTTGCCAGTCTGTGCCTTTTAATTGGGGCATTTAAGCCAATTACATTTAAGGTTAATATTGTTATGTGTGAATTTGATCCTGTCATCATAATGTTAGCTGGTTATTTTTCTCGTTAGTTGATTCAGTTTCTTCATAGTGTCAATGATCTTTCCATTTTGGTTTGTTTTTGCAATGGCTGGTACCGGTTTTTCCTTTCTATGTTTAGTGCTTCCTTCAGGAGCTGTTGTAAGGCAGGCCTGGTGGTGACAAAATCCCTCAGCAGTTGCTTGTCTGTAAAGGATTTTATTTCTCCTTCACTTGTGAAGCTTAGTTTGGCTGGATATGAAATTCTGGGTTGAAACTTCTTTTCTTTAAGAATGTTGAATATTGGCCCCCACTCTCTTCTGGCTTGTAGGGTTTCTGCAGAGAGATCTGCTGTTAGTCTGATGTTCTTCCCTTTGTGGGCAACTAGACCTTTCTCTCTGGCGGCCGTTAACATTTTTTTCCTTCTTTCAACCTTGGTGATCTGACAATGATGTGTCTTGGAGATGCTCTTCTCAAGGAGTATCTTTGTCGTATTCTCTGTATTTCCTGAATCTGAATGTTGGCCTGTCTTGCTAGGTTGAAGAAGTTTTCCTGGATAATATCCTGAAGTGTGTTTTCCACCTTGGTTCCATTCTCCCCATGACTTTCAAGTACACCAATCAACCGTAGGTTTGGTCTTTTCACATAGTCGCATATGTCTTGGAGGCTTTGTTCCTTCCTTTTCATTCTTTTTTCTCTAATCTTGTCTTCACACTTTATTTCATTTAGTTGGTCATCAATCTCTGATATCCTTTTTTCTGCTTGTTTGATTTGGCTATTGATAATTGTGTATGTTTCACAAAGTTCTTGTGCTGTGTTTTTCAGCTACATTGGGTCATTTGTGTTCTTCTCTAAACTGGTTATGCTAGTTAGCAATTCCTCTAACCTTTTATCAAGGCTCCTAACTTCCTTGCTTTGGGTTAGAACATGCTCCTTTAGCTCGGAGGAGTTTGCTATAACCCATCTTCTGAAGCCTACTTCTGTCAATTAATCAAACCTATTCTCCATACAGTTTTGTTCCTTTGCTTGTGAGGAGTTGTGATCCTTTGGAAGAGAAGAGGCATTCTGGTTTTTGGAATTTTCAGTCTTTTTGCACTGGTTTTTCCTCATCTTCTTGGATTTATTTACCTTTGGTCTTTGCTGTTGGTGACCTTCAGATGAAGTTTTGTGTTGTTATCCTTTTTGTTGAAGTTGATGCTATTGCTTTCTGTTTGTTAGTTTTCCTTCTAACAGTCAGGCCCCTCTTCTGCAGGTCTGCTGGAGTTCACTAGAGGTCCACTCCAGACCCTGTTTGCCTGGGTATCAGCAGCAGAGGCTGCAGATCAGCAAAGATTGATGCCCACTCCTTCCTCTGGAAGCTACGTCCCAGAGGGGCACCCACCAGATGGCAGCCAGAGTTCTCCTGTATAAGGTGTCTGTTGATCTCTGCTGGGAGGTGTCTCCCAGTCAGGAGGCACAGTGATCACGGACCCACTTGAGGAGGCAGTCTGTCCCTTACCACAGCTCGAGCACTGTGCTGGGAGATCTGCTGCTCCCTTCAGAGTTTGCAGGCAAAAATGTTTAAGTATCCTGAAGCTGTGCCCACAGCCCCACTTCCCCCAGGTGCTCTGTCCCAGGGAGATGGGAGTTTTTTCTATAAGACCCTGACTGAGGCTTCTGCCTTTTTTTCAGAGATGCCCTGCCCAGAGAGGAGAAATCTAGAGAGGCAGCCTGGCTACAGCAGCTTTGTGGCATTGCAGTGGGCTCCACCAAGCCCAAACTTCCAGGGGACGTTGTTTACATTGTGAGAGGAAAACCACCTACTCGAGCCTCATTAATGGCAGATGTCCTTCCCTCCACCAAGCTTGAATGTCCCAGGTCAACTTCAGACTGCTGTGCTGCCAGTGAGAATTTCAAGACAGTGGATCTTACCGTGTTGGCCTCTGTGGGGGTGGGATCCGCTGAGCATGACCACTTGGCTCCCTGGCTTCAGCCCCCTTTCCAAGGGAGTGAACAGTTCTCTCTTGCTGGCATTCTAGGTGCCACTTGGATATGAAAAAAAAAATAAAAATCATGCAGCTAGCTTAGTGTCTGCCCAAACAGTCCCCCAGTTTTGTGCTTGAAACCCAGGGCCCTGGTGATATAGGTACCTGAGGGAATCTCCTGGTCTGTGGGTTGTGAAGACATGAGAAAAGCATAGTGTCTGGGCCAGAATGCACCGTTCCTCATGGCACAGTCCCTCATGGCTTCGCTTGGCTAGGGGAGGGAGTTCCCTACACCTTGTGCTTCCTGGGTGAGGTGACGCCCCACCCTGCTTCTGCTTGCCATCTGTGGGCTGCACCCACTGTCTAACCAGTCCCAATGAGATGAAGCGGGTACTTCAGTTGGAAATACAGAAATCACCCACCTTTTGCGTTGGTCTCACTGGGAGCTACAGACCGGAGCTGTTCCTATTCTGCCATCTTGCCCAGGAATCCAATCTGATTTCTTACTCCTTCTCAACACACATATTTTCCTAAAACTATATTTAAGCACATAATTTACCAAATGCACTTTTTCATATCACCCATGTTATTACCACTGTCTTCTTCCATCTTCTGTTCCCCGATTCCTATAAAGGTTCAGCTCAATGGCCCCTTCTTCCAGGAAGCCTTCTTGATTATTCCAGCTTAGAGCTATCTCCTCGCCACCCTAATGTCTTTAGGATATATATATATATATATATATATATATATATATAAAATTTGATTTCTCATTCCTATCTTTTCATATGTATATATGTTAGGGAAGGTGCTTGTAAGTTTAGTAAAAGTAACTGAAAACATCATTGAGTTCCATTGCTTAATGTTATAGAGAAAAATGACAAGGAAGCAGCCTGAGCTTTTCCATTTTTCGGCTATGTTTTAAGCAGAATTATATCTAATAATAAAATCTGGTTAATTCTCATTTCTTTGAGTTTTTAATAATTTTGTGGCACAATGCTTTGGCTAATGCTTGAAAATGGATTTTCATCATAAGCCCGGGCTACAAAACATTTAATTTGGGGTGCACAGGACTCAGGCTCTACTAGTGTGTAGAGCACACCCATTGTGCTTATTTATCAAATGCTCAGTGAATTATCTCTTTACAGAAACTCCCGATTAGCACTAAGCATAGTTTCCTAGGCACAACGTATTTTTGACTGAGGGTTTTCAATCAACATCGAATCCCTTTACACACATAGAATCAATCAAATTATTTTGTTGATCTTTCTATAAATGTAAAAATGGAATTTTGGAGCCATAAAGCTGTCTCCACAAACACTTTTTGTACTTTTTCTTGGTTACTTTTTGTTTCATATCACTTAAGAAGTCAGAGTGACCATGGCATGCTGTGCTCTGTATGGGACAAATTTTTGCTTCATTTCATTGATTGAGCATTGTATTTGGGTAGCACTAAACAGCACTATTATAGTGCACTACTTGGGAGAAACATATTTTTTTGGCTAACTCCATGAAAAATCACTGAAAATTACAACTACAGAAATTAAAAAAAAAAGAATAAAGCTATGAAAATGGAACACCAGTGTTTTATGGCATATGAAATGCCCTCTCACACAAAGCATGTAAATGTTTAACCAGCAAGAGGCATCCTTTTAGAAGGCTGTGACTATAGCAGGTATGCTATAGTGGTTGTTACCAAATAAAAAGCAGTGGTTGTTACCAAATAAAAATGATGACTTTCTTTTTTTGTGTGCCCCATCTCAGGATGTGGAGAAGAAAGATGAACAACAGATGGCTGTAGAGAAACTATTTCTATGGACCTGTTCTTGTCTATTACTCTGGGAAAAATACCTCTACTGTTGAAAAGCACTATATGGCCACGATCCACATCTTGACCAGTTGTTTCAAGCATTTGTATGCATAAAAATTATATTGGACATTTAGTAAAATGCACATTCCTGGGCCACTTTGCAATAATTTCTTTTAGAGATTTGGAGCAGAGTCCAGGTGCCTGGATATTAACTATCACTAAAATGATGTGTTCTTGGACCACACTTTAAGAAACACTGCTTTGGCTCTTGTATAACATAGACTCTACATTGTCTGGGATAGGAAATGGAAGTAATGATGAGTTGCCCCCAATACTGTTTAGGACCTGAACCAATCTGTATTCTATGGCAGTTTATCATGTCTGAAGCAACATGTTGAACTGGTGTAGGAAGGATTTTTCTTTTTCTGTTTTTTTGGTTTTGTTTTTGTTTTTGTTTTGCTTTGTTTTTTGTTTTTGAGATGGAGTCTCATTCTGTCGCCCAGGCTGGAGTGCAGTGGCACTATCTCAGCTCACTGCAACCTTCGTCTCCTGGGTTTAAGTGATTCTCCTGCCTCACCCTCCCGAGTATCTGGGACTACAGGTGCGTGCTACCACGCCCAGCTAATTTTTTGTATTTTAGTGGAGATGGGGTTTCATCGTGTTAGCCAGAATGGTCTCGATCTCCTGACCTCATGATCCACCTGCCTTGGCCTCCCAAAGTGCTGGGATTACAGGCGTGAGGCGCCACGGCCCGCCAGGAAGGATTTCAAATGCAAAAATTTCCAGGAACGAAGGTTCAATATAAGAACAGCTTACAAACGGCAGTTGGTTCAGTACAGGAATGTTTGATATTTAGTTTCAAGGTCTGTGGCCAATTTTATAACTATTAAAACAGCAAAACACTGCAGCACTATATTTTCAGTGATTCAATTGTGTGCCCAAGCAAGTTTCTCTTTAATTAAATGTGCAGCATTTGAAGCAAATTGAGAAAGTATGACTAGGCAGGTTGTTGCAGACACTGAGTCTTTACAAAAAATTTACTTTCTTTTTTTGGCATAGTTCTATTCATTTGACAGGTTTGTGTTATAGAATTGGGACACAATTCTAGTAGCGTCCTTACCAAGATAGTGTGGCTTATGTTTCTCTTCACCATGATGTTGTAACAAAAGGCCACTGGCTTTGCAGTTAAAAGGTCCTGAACTTAAATCCTGGTCTCTTTAGCTTTGTAAACTTGGACAAATCACTTAGTCTTATTATGTCTCCCTCACTGGAATTTTCAGAGAATCATGAAATCACACATGGCAATGACCAGGTACAGTAACAGTGAGTTCTCTCCTTTTCCTGCTCTTACTGTTTTCTTTAGTGATAATTCCTTTCTTGATTGATATAGCAAGTTACCTGAACTAAAAGACGTAGGGTCATTTTTAAAAATCCACCTCCTTCTTCATACTTCTTATCCAATTAGTTACCAAGTATATCAACTTTGCTCCTAAAACGCTGACTGACTGCTATCTGCTCTATCAGGCCTCTAACCGTGATGTGCCCTTTAACTAGAATGTCCATCCTCTATTCCTCTACAGGGAAGGCAGCGATGTTTCATGCTCTGAGTGTCACAAAGCCTTTGATTATTCAGTGCAGCAGAGTCTTCCCCAGGGTAACAAGCAAGCTGAATGACACAGTGCCACAGTCGAGACTATGCCCCAGTGCACCTTGGTTATTCCCTGTGGTTGTGTTCCTTCATCTGGATCACTGCTGTAGGAGTTACAGAGCGACCTTTTAATAAGAGCTCCCAGTAGAGTCCTAAAGAGTCACCATCTTTAATGTATATAATCAATACTTACCCCTTCCCTCTTATGCTGCTCCTAAGGCCACCTGTGTAAAAGGAAAAAATAAAAAATAAAAGCCCACTGCCAGCTTACTCCTCGGGTAAGATAAACAAATCACTCCTTTTACAGACACTATGAGCTATAAGCCACATTGTTTCAACTTGACTGAAAGGAGTTTTGTATGAATTTGTTTTAATTAAGGGAATCAAGATACAAAAAAATAGCTATGTTAATCAGAAATGTGGATGCTTGGAAAAAAGGAATCAAGAGATATTTTCAGAGAAAAAAATTTCTCTAAAAGTAGAAAAAAAGAATGATGTATGTAAGAATGAATAATATCTCAAAAGATTTATCTTAAAGTGTAACTATCCTACCTTTTTACCTTGGTTCTTCCAAATCATTTCTGAAAGCTAAACAACAGAGACTACATATTAGAAAACCAGTAAACATTTACTAAATGACTTTCAGAAATTAATGTATCTGTTGTACATGTTGAAGCTAAATAGATATTAAAGAGTACAGTTATACAAAATATAATCATGCAAAAAGGAGTGATGTCAATTATTGACAGCACAGTTATAAAACCAGCAGGGGCAAAGTTAGATCTAGTAGGAAAAGAAAACCAGCCTGCTTGAGGCCCTGGGACAGGTTCATTGTGTATGGCCCAGGAAATCTGCCCTCAGAAGGGATAAACACATTTAGGACTTCCCGGAGAGTAACAGATTTATTGAAACATTTGCCGAATACAAGGCAGTTTGATGAGGTTATGACAAGAGTGCATTTTAGGATTCAAGGAGAGCCATGTTCCTGCTGCAACTTCATGACAATGAGGCATATGACAATTTACTTGACTGCTCTAATCTCCCATTTTTTGTGGGTTTTTAAAAAAAGTTTACGTATGGTTGGAAATATTTATGCCACTTCTGCTTCCACTAAATAAATAAGCTAGCTTATTTATTAAATAATAAATAAATAAATAAGCTAGCTATGACAAAGTGGAATCGTTTCAGTTAATCAGGAGATTAAAGCAAGAGAAAGAACTGGATTGGTCAGATTGTCTAGGAAATAGGGTTCCTTTTCTGAAAACGAAGACTTGAAGGAGCTGTTTGATACTTTGTTTGTTTTTTTTTTACAATCATTATCTCATTCAATCCTTATAGCAACTCTACAAAATAGTACTATTGACATTTGCATCTTACAGATGAAAAATTTAGACCAGAGAGTTAAGCAATGTTCCCAAGGTTAAATAGCTGGTGTGGGTCCGAGAGCCCAAAGCTCTGCCATGCTACATGCCCAGTCTTGTTATCAACAGTTTCCTCTCAGCAAATTCTGTTTGCTTCTCATAAACTAGAAACAAACAAACAAACAAACAACTACCAAAAATCTTGTTAAAAGCTTGAAGGCAACTACCAAATCGTTCATCCTCTCTACAGAGGATAAAATTAAAGATTTAATTAATTCAATTAAGTGGATTATACTGTAAAAAAAAATAAGGATAAAGGAATCAAATGATTAGATGAAAATGACAGGGATGGCCAGTGTTCTTGAGGTCTAAAACAAAGTTTTCCTATTAATGAAAAAATGAATTCAAACTGTACAGATGGCCCAAGATAATGTGAATCCAAGACCTGGTTTACATATCTTTTAATTTTAAACTTGTAAAAGTCTTCGTGTATTTTATATCTATAACCTCAAAGAAATAGCAACAATACTAAATGTAGAAACAATTTGATGCAAAACATTGCCTCTGTATATTTCTTGATGTCACATTTTAAGATATGAGTTCACACTTTTGTAGTCAAAAGTCCTCTTCCTCTCTCCCACAGGAAATTATGCCAGGGAGTGGGAGACACCTGGCTGGCCAGGCAGAGGATCCAGAAGGGAAGGAGGGAGGACACAGAGGGAGAGGGAAAGAAAATTCTTAGGCTGGGCTGAGTTGAGAACAGTCAGAAACAACCCACAAAATGACTTCAGAAGCGGTGGAAACAGTGTGCTTAGGTAAACCTTTAGGTGATAGGCTCTGGAGAATTTTAGTTTACCAGAAGAAATAGACCTGAAAGCCCCAAGTCCCTGGACACAGAAGTAGGAAAATCTCTCTCAAATATGCTTTGTTAGCATCATTTGTTACAGGCATAAAAATGTATGTCATCAAGTTAGACAATGAATATAGAAAAATGACAACCCTGTCTCCAAGGAGCCTATTTGTAGCATAGGATGAGATAAATACAATATTTCAGCAGTCCCTAGCTATGGAGGGTCTGCTGGGTTTACAGGGAGTGGAAGCAGAAAAGTATGGACATGGAGGAGAAGGTTGACTCTGCAGGCATCTGACAGCTCCCTTCTCCTTGGTGAAGGCAGCTTCATGTGAAGTGAGGCACCCCATGTCCAGGGGAGGTGGGAGCTCCACCTGCTGCAGCAGCCATGGCCTGTGGGTTCTCAGGGCTACTCTGGAGGTTAATCAGAGAATGTCAAAGCAACCACATTTTAACAGAAGGAATATGGCAGTTGGGAAGTTTCCAAGCAATCAGTCCTCCTTTATTTGAACTAGAGGAAGAAATTTTGGGGACTGAGGCACAAAATAACTACTAATACACATTCTGACTGGCTCCCAAGACTGATGGTCTAAAGAAATAATATCTGTTACATATGAGTATAGATAAGTCTTTAATACCAAATAACTACTAATTATTTATTGAGCTACTACAAAGTAAGACAATATGCAGGACCCTGGAGATGCAATGAAGAGTAAGAAGCTTCAGTCCTTGAGCTCATGTGCTTCAGAAGCCCAGGCAGGGAAGACAATCAGATAGTCACACAAATGAGGAAGTACCCTAATGACCGACTGAAGTCATTTCTATTAAGGAAAAAGCCTGGTTATAACATATAACAAAGGACATTGGTTAAGCAATGTTCCCAAGGTTAAACAGCTGTGAACTAGGTGGGTTGATGAAGTTGAGGAGCTTTCTCATTTTAAAATCTTTCATAGTGTTACAATAGTGTGTAACTAAACTATCAACATTGAAAGTTATCCAAGAAATAATCCATCCAATGTAGTAGATAACCTAGAGATTTTTACATTATGGAACGAAAAAAAATATGCTTTGGATAGATTTGTTCAGAATAGCATTGCTATTTAGACCAGCCTCTAACAAGCAGTATTTGGTAAAATCTTATTATTGTAGTTTTCAAATAGTACATGTTGTTATGTTATGAAACCAAGGTTGCTTAGCTATTTCCAATTGTAGTGACCAGTTGTGGCATGGAATACTTTATTAATTCTCTCACAAATCTCCAATGGGGAAAGCTAATATTGTTAATTGCATGACCACTGAGAGAAATTTTACAAATTGCAAAACACTACAGCTCAAAAAGAATAACTGTGTATTAATGAAAGAAGTAAAACTGATTTTAAAAATGAAAAAAATATAATTTTCACATTGAACATGCTTTAATCTTTGAGAAAAGTTAAAATTTGATAATACTTAAAGAGATTATCAAATACTGCTATAAAAATGTCAAGGAACTATAAGCATATTTTCTCATAATAAAACATTCAAAGACACTGAAGAAAATAAAACTGATTAAAATAAAAAGGGGAGGGGGACACCCAAGATGGCCGAATAGAAACAGCTCCAGCCTCCAGCTCCCAGTGTGAGCCACACAAAAGACGGGTGATTTCTGCATTTTCAATTGAGGAACCGGGTTCATCTCACTGGGGTGTGCCGGACACTTGGTGCTGGTCAGTAGGTGCAGCCCAACCAGCGAGAGCTGAAGCAGGGCGAGGAGTCATCTCACCTGGGAAGCGCAAGGGGGAAGGGAATTCCTATTCCTAGCCAAGGGAAACTGAGACACACAACACCTGGAAAAATCAGGTAACTCCCATGCTAATACTGCACTTTACCAAGGGTCTTAGCAAACGGCACACCAGGAGATTATATCCCATGCCTGGCCCAGAGGGTCCCACGCACACGGAGCCTCCCTCATTGCTAGCACAGCAGTCTGAGATCTAACTGCAAGGTGGCAGTGAGGCTGGGGGAGGGGCGCCCGCCATTGCTGAGGATTAAGTAGGTAAACAAAGCTGCAGGGAAGCTCAAACTGGGTGGAGCCCACCGCAACTCAAGGAGGCCTGCCTGCCTCTGTAGACTCCACCTTTGGGGACAGGGCATAGATAAACAAAAAGCAGCAGAAACCTATGCAGATGTCAATGTCCCTGTCTGACAGCTTTGAAGAGAGCAGTGGTTCTCCCAGCATGGAGGTTGAGATCTGAGAATGGACAGACTGCCTGCTCAAGTGGGTCCCTGACCCCTGAGTAGCCTAACTGGGAGACATCCCCCATTAGATGCATACTGACACCTCACACCTCACACGGCTGGGTACACCTCTGAGACAAAGCTTCCAGAGCAAGAATCAGACAGCAACAACCACTGTTAAGCAATATTCTATCTTCTGCAGCCTCTGCTGCTGATACCCAGGCAAACAGGGTCTGGCATGGACCTCAAGCAAACTCCAACAGACCTGTAGCTGAGGGTCCTGACTGTTAGAAGGAAAACTAACAAACAGAAAGGACACCCACACCAAAATCCCATGAGTATGTCACCATCATCAAAGACCAAAGGCAGATAAAACCACAAAGATGGGGAAAAAGCAGTGCAGAAAAGCTGGAAATTCAAAAAATCAGAGTGCATCTCCTCCTCCAAAGGAAAACAACTCATCGCCAGCAACGGAACAAAGCTGGACAGAGAATGACTTTGACGAGCTGAAAGAAGAAGGCTTCAGTCGATCAAACTTCTCAAGGCTAAAGGAAGAACTATGTACCCAGCACAAAGAAACTAAAAACCTTGAAAAAAGAATGGAAGAATGGATAACTAGAATAACCAATGCAGAGAAGTTCATAAACGAACTGATAGAGATGAAAACCATGACACGAGAACTACGTGACAAATGCACAAGCTTAAGTAACCAACTCGATCAACTGGAAGAAAGAGTATCAGTGAGTGAAGATCAAATGAATGAAATGAAGTGAGAAGAGAAGTGCAGAGAAAAAAGAGTAAAAAGAAATGAACAAAGCCTCCAAGAAATATGGGACTATGTGAAAAGACCAAATCTACATCTGATTGGTGTGCCTGAAAGTAATGGGGAGAATGGAATCAAGTAGGAAAACCCTCTGCAGGATATTATCCAGGAGAACTTCCCCAACCTAGCAAGGCAGGCCAACATTCAATTTCAGGAAATATAGAGAACACCACAAAGATACTCCTCCAGAAGAGCAACTCCAAGACACAAAATTGTCAGATTCACCAAGGTTGAAATGAAGGAAAAAATGTTAAGAGCAGCCAGAGTCAAAGGTCTAGTTATCCACAAAGGGAAGACCATCGGACTAACAGCGGAGCTCTCGGCAGAAACTCTACAAGCCAGAAGAGAGTGGGGGCAATATTCAACATTCTTAAAGAAAAGAATTTTCAACCCAGAATTTCATATCCAGCCAAACTAAGTTTCATAAGTGAAGGACAAATAAAATCCTTTACAGATAAGCAAATGCTTAGAGATTTTGTCTCCACCAGTCCTGCCCTACAAGAGCTCCTGAAGGAAGCACTAAACATGGAAAGGAACAACCAGTACCAGCCACTGCAAAAGCATGTGAAAATGTAAAGACCATCAATGCTACGAAGAAACTGCATCAACTAATGAGAAAATAACCAGCTGATATCATGACAGGATCGAGTTCACACATAACAATATTAACCTTAAATGTAAATGGACTAAATGGTCCAATTAAAAGACACAGACTGGCAAATGGGATAAACAGTCAAGACCCATCAGTGTGCTGTATTCAGGAGACCCATCTCATATGCAGAGACACACATAGGCTCAAAATAAAGGGATGGAGGAAGATCTACCAACCAAATGGAAAACAGAAAAAGGCAGGGGTTGCAATCCTAGTCTCTGATAAAACAGACTTTAAACCAACAAAGATCCAAAGAGACAAAGAAGGCCATTACATAATAGTAAATGGATCAATTCAACAAGAAGAGCTAAGTATCCTAAATATATATGCACCCAATACAGGAGCACCCAGATTCATAAAGCAAGTCCTTAGAGACTTATAAAGAGACTGAGACTCCCATACAATAATAATGGGAGACTTTAACACCCCACTGTCAACATTAGACAGATCGACAAGACAGAAAGTTAACAAGGATATCCAGGAATTGAACTCAACTCTGCACCAAGCAGACCTAATAGACATCTACAGAACTCTCCACCCCAAATCAACAGAATATACATTCTTCTCAGCACCACATTGCACTTATTGCAAAATTGACCACATAGTTGGAAGTAAAGCACTCCTCAGCAAATGTAAAAGAACAGAAATTATGACAAACTGTCTCTCAGACCACAGTGCAATCAAACTAGAACTCAGGACTAAGAAACTCAATCAAAACCACTGAACTACATGGAAACTGAACAACCTGCTCCTGAATGACTACTGCATAAATAACGAAATGAAGGCAGAAATAAAGATGTTCTTTGAAACCAATAAGAACAAAGATACAACATACCAGAATCTCTGGGACACATTTAAAGCAGTATGTAGAGGGAAATTTATAGCACGAAATGTCCATAAGAGAAAGCAGGAAAGATCTAAAATTGATACCCTAACATCACAATTAAAAGAACTAGAGAAGCAAGAGCAAACACATCTAAAAGCTAGAAGAAGCAAAGAAATAACTAAGATCAGAGCAGAACTGAAGGCAACAGAGACATGAAAAATCCTTCAAAAAATCAATGAATCCAGGAGCTCATTTTTTGAAAAGGTCAACAAAATTGATAGCCCACTAGCAAGACTAATAAAGAAGAAAAGAGAGAATAATCAAATATACGTAATAAAAAATGATAAACGGGATATCACCACCGACCCCACAGAAATACAAACTACCATCAGAGAATACTATAAACACCTCTATGCAAATAAAGTAAAAAACCTAGAAGAAATGGATAATTTCCTGGACACATACACTCTCCCAGGACTAAACCAGGAAGACGTTGAATCCCTGAATAGACCAATAGTAGGCTCTGAAATTGAGGCAATATTCAATAGCCTACCAACCAAAAAAAAGTCCAGGACCAGATGGATTCACAGTCGAATTCTACCAGAGGTATAAGGAGGAGCTGGTACCATTCCTTCTGAAACTATTCCAATCAATAGAAAAAGAGGGAATCCTCCCTAACTCATTTTATGAGGCCAACATCATCCTGATACCAAAGCCTGGCAGAGACACAACAAAAAAAGAGAATTTTAGACCAATATCCCTGATGAACATCGATGCAAAAATCCTCAATAAAATACGGACAAACTAAATCCAGCAGCACATCAAAAAGCTTATCCACCATGATCAAGTGGGCTTCATCCCTGGGATGCAAGGCTGGTTCAACATATGCAAATCAATAATGTAATCCAGCATATAAACAGAACCTAAGACAAAAAACACATGATTATCTCAAGAGATGCAGAAAAGGCCTTTGACAAAATTCAACATCCCTACATGCTAAAAACTCTCAATAAATTTGGTATAATGGAACGTATCTCAAAAAAATAAGAGCTATTTATGACAAACCCACAGCCAATATCATACTGAATGGGCAAAAACTGGAACTATTCCCTTTGAAAACTGGCACAAGACAAGGATGCCCTCTCTCACCACTCCTATTCAACATAGTGTTGGAAGTTCTGGCTAGGGCAATCAGGCAAGAGAAAGAAATAAAGGGTATTCAGTTAGGAAAAGAAGAAGTCAAATTGCCCCTGTTTGCAGATGACATGATTGTATATTTAGAAAACCCCATCATCTCAGCCCAAAATCTCCTTAAGCTGATAAGCAACTTCAGCAAAGTCTCAGGATACAAAATTATGTGCAAAAATCACAAGCATTCTTATACCCCAATAACAGACAGAGAACCAAATCATGAATGAACTCCCATTCACAATTGCTTCAAAGAGAATAAAATACCTAGGAATCAAACTTACAAGGGATCTGAAGGACCTCTTCAAGGAGAACTACAAACCACTGCTCAGTGAAATAAAAGAGGACACAAATGAATGGAAGAACATACGATGCTCATGGATAGGAAGAATCAATATCGTGAAAATGGCCACACTGCCCAAGGTAATTTATAGATTCAATGCCATCCCCATTAAACTACCAATGACTTTCTTCACAGAATTGGAAAAAACTGTTTTAAAGTTCATATGGCACCAAAAAAGAGGCCGCATTGCCAAGACAATCCTGAGCCAAAAGAACAAAGCTGGAGGCATCACGCTACCTGACTTCAAACTATACTACAAGGCTACAGTAACCAAAACAGCATGGTACTGGTACCAAAACAGATATATAGACCAAT